GAGTGCAGAAAGCTGCCTTCATCGTACATGTAATGCATCATTTATTTCTGATTAAAGTACCCACTCAAGCTTGCCATGCAAACCAATTTGAAAATCAATACCAATTTTAATCAGTCCTTTGGATATGACAAGCGTGTCTGCGCGGGGAAACCGTGAATGGATGGCCGGCCGACGCAGCTACCATACCGCTTCTCATTATCGATCTTCCCTGATCGACCATTCATCCCCGAGTTCCTCTAGCCGATGTTAACACCCGTCCCATCAATACTACATCATCTCATCTGCCCAGAGCCAGAAGGGTGTTAACTCCGTGTTAAAGTATATGATTTAATGCCCTTCTAGCGCTGAACGGACGATCAGCCATCTCGAGATTCTATTGGAGTAGGGATTGTGTTCTCTGAATTTGCCAAAAGGCCAAGGCCCGTGATTTTCACACCAAGATGCCATTGCCCTTTATCTACCAAGTCGTATCAACGAGAAAGTAATAAATGATTGAAGAGAGAGAGAGAAAGAGGAAGGGTAAGAGAAAGAGAGTGAGAAAGGAAGCTATAATAAAATGGAATGAGAGAGTATAGAAAAGAAAAATTGTGAGAGAGAGAGAGGGGGAGAGAGGGGGAGAGAGAGGGGGGGAGAGAGAGGGGGAAGAGAGGGGAGAGGGGGAGAGAGGGGAGAGAGGGGAGAGGGGGAGAGAGGGGAGAGGGGGGAGAGAGAGGGAGAGGGGAGAGAGAGAGAGAGAGAGAGGGGAGGGGGAGGGGGAGGGGGAGGGGGAGGGGAGAGATAGAGAGAATGGGAAAGATGTAAAACACAATAAAAGAGGACAAGACAAAAATCTCAGGGAGGGGAGGAGGGGGATACAGGAAGAATGGACGAGAAGAGAAGGAGGAGAGAAAGAGAGAAGGGAAACAGAAAAAAGAAATATTATTAAGGGAGATGTATTGAAAATGGGACAGGTGGAAAGATTTAGAAATGATGGAGATAGAGAGAAGAGAGATTACAACAACAAAAATCAATTGGGAGAGAAAGATCAGAAAAGGGAAAAGGCGACTGAAAAGAGAGATAGAAACAATGAGAAAGGGAGTGAGAGGGAGAGAGAGAAAGAGAGAAAATGAGATAGAGAAAGCTACGTCATAAATTACCTATTCCCTTGATATTTCTTAAATTTCATAGTCAGTGAGCATGAACATTTCATATCCAGATGAACATTCATTTATCACACTTGGTGAAAAGGGTCAATCAAGCAATATCTAGAGCAGATCGTTTAAAATGAAATAATGACATTCCTCAACAATATATCAAAAGTCTCTTTTTCACCAAATTTGAAATATCAAGAAGTGGTAATGTTCAAAAAGCTGAAAGTCATGTTTTTGCATATATGCCACACTGTAATTATGTTTATTCTAAATGACTAAGGTAAATTTGTCACGATACTCACTATGCCAATTGGGAATTCTGTTGTTAAGACAATTATTGAGGTAAGTAACATACTAACAATTTGACAGTGTTGAATAACTGATAACCACCAATCCACACGGAAATATTTGAAATAATAAAGATAAGATAATGAATGATTCAGAGACACATCTTTGGGTCTAATAAAGCATTCCCCGCCTAGACTTTCACCTTTCTCCATTATTGTTTGGGAACTGTAGGACACAAAATCAATAATCATCTTGCAAATCTGACCAATAAAACAAATCAAAGTCCCCTAATAAATTCTTGAATACCAAAAAAAAAAAAATGGAAGAACAGCCCATGAAACTGTATTAATCATTCATTTTGGCGACATTCCTGACAGTTTTATGAGGCCCCCTGACTCTAGCTCTGCCATGATTTTTCTTTAAAGTCACAACAGAGAATTAGTCCTTTGAAGATTTTAGAGATTTTTTCAATGGAATACTGCCCTCTGATGTGTATTTAGAAAGTAAAAAGCGGTCATGTCTCAGTGTGCATGAACACTTCCATGCAAACAATAACAGAAAAAACTATACATTAAACAGCTTCTCCATATTTAAAAAAAAATCATCTTTGCTAGCTAAAATCATTTATTACCATATGTCTTTGAATATATGATCTGAATATGAATATGAAATTTTATACCAAGGTACAATAGCAAAGCAGAATCATAAACTTTGTACATGTATGTTTGTATTCTAAACTAATGATTGAAAAATTGTTAGGTCTCACTAGAAAGATGGATGAAGGGGGGGGGGATAGGTAAATAGTTAAAATGTATTTTTGTTAACAAGAATCATACTTTTCGGCATGTGTGAAACATCATTGATTATTGAGCTTTTGGACACAATTTCAATCACACAAAAAATTTCAATCAGAATTTTAAAAAAATAATCAGGATTCCTCCCTTTGCATCACATGTAACAACAAAAGTCAGTGGCAGTGATATAAAAAATCAAGCTCAAATCTCTCACGTGAACAGGTGCAAAATTGGTGATGTGTGAATTAATCGCAGTCCAAATCGCACACTCATCTTGTATGAATGGGGTCAATGGCAATTTTTTTTTTCCAATCAAAAAAATGAGCATATCCTACTTCAACATACAATGTATCAGACAACAAACCCATTATCCAATTTGATATTGGAATAAATTTCATCATCATTAATAACTCCTCCAATGGTTGAATACAAGTGCATGAAACTAGTTCCACAGATCTAGGTTAATGCATTTCCTTTATTAATAACAGATTTTAAAAGAAAACAAAACAGGCACAGGTGATGTAAGATGTCTACCTACCCACATATTCATCTTATAGGATTGTGTGGGGCACGCAATTATAAATTTGGTCATTATCAAAATATAATTTCATAACGACAACAGTAGTGCAATAACAAGAACAGTAATCTAGAACTCTGATGATTAAACTGCTTTTCTTCAGTTTGAAGCAAGAGGGCATTAACTCTGTGTTAATGATATGAGATAACAGCTTTCTGGCTCCAAACAGATGACATCTACATGTAACAGTCATTCAGAGTCGTTTACTAGACACCAAGTTGATAAAAGTAATCCGGATACGAAACAAATTTCCTAAATTTTTGGATATTTTTGATACCGATGCACCTTCGAGGCCAAAACCGGTTACTTACATATCAAAATAACCATTTGATGTATATATATAGTATTGATTGTTTAGGATTTATCTCTCATTCTGTCACAAAAAACTTTGTTATTCAATGGATTGTAAATATCTCAAGGATGAAATTGTTCACTGAATTACGATTCACAATTAAAATTATATTAATATTGATCAATTTGAAACAAATGAATATTTCAAATTTCAAAAAAGAGAAAAGCTATGTATTGTCATATAAACAACCCTGGCTGGCTATTAACGTCATTTTATAACTTTCAAATCTGATTGATGAAAATTGACACTTGATAAGGTCAAAGGTCTATAAAAGACCTCCAAGATGGACCAAGAAAACATGTTTTCAAAAATACAATGACAAAGATCAATACAGTGTGCAGCGTCGTGAATTTTAAAGGTAATACAAAGTTTTGGTATGGGGTCATGAATTTGGTTCAAATCAACATATTGGAAGCATATGCGGTCCTACAATATTCAGAAATCGTTGTCGCGGTTGAAATCGAGTCTAAAGTTATCGAATTGTAAATAATAAACGCTTTATGTTGTATAGCTCCCTCTCAAGGTCAAGATACTAAATAAGCTATAAAACAATGTTTATCAACTAAATTCAACCGATTACCAATTCCCGTTCGGAAATTATATATCACAACTACATATTCTGAGATTTTCATGGTCTCAGCTACCATTGTACGGCCTTAGGCGCTATTTGAAATTAATCAAAATTTACCGGGAGCACCGGTAAATCTTTATATTCAATTTTTCTCAAAAGCAGAAGTGTTTTACGGGCTAAATTTTCTTGTGCTTATAATACATCCACAGGGGGCATCCAAATATATCAAAATTGTAAAGAATCACTATCCACCCAATTTTCAAAATTTCCCAAAACTCTGTATTACCTTTAAGAGCAAAATTCTAGGGTCTTGTTTTTCTATGCATATTGCTTACTTATGATACATTTTCTATGAAGGTTGTGGGCCTTGTATCTTTTAACAATTTTTGGTAATGATAATTGAATAATATACTCTTTGTACAGTGCATATAATGTAATAATAATTCCCATGAGCATTTTAAATGAGTCAGTATACACAGTACACTTCAAGATATGACTCCTACAAGGTGTACCCATTCAACACCTGAGTCGAGAGAGACACTTATGAATAAAATGCCTTGGTAAAGGACATATGCACCAGGCAGATACTCAGATCCTCTAAACCTCAATTGTGAGACACCAGAGAATGGAACCACTTTATTACAATGCTCTAATATATTTCATTGTATTTATTCTTCATCATTGTCAGACCTTTCAGACCTTTCAATTGCATTTCACACATACTAGCATTTCTACGAATTATCTGATGAGATCCTTTATATAGAATACATCAGCCCACGGGAAACACATTACACCCTCAAAGCACATAAGGGGTGGATTTATAGATGGAGGATAAAAATAGAACTGAAGGTATCTTCTTCCCCCATAGGGCACTATGACGTTACCAACATCACGCAAGCAAGCGTATAAGAACGAGCCACAGATGGCGTGGGCGAGCTATTTTATGGCGACTGACTAGTCTAACAGTACAAACTCCATTTTCACACTTGACTCTCAGTGCAGTCTCCATTATGACATTCTAACCAAGTTCACTGTTTCTAGAGCAAAGCCTATGGTGATTTTAGAAAGTGAAATAATAGGGATTATGTACATGTAGTCTGTAATTAAGGTAATTCAGACCCAGTAGAGTATGTGCTATATGATTTTGTACACATAAATTATGCATTTTCGTTGAGAGTAGATCTTGTCGCCGGAAAATAAGGGATTGAACCATGATGGCTGCATTTCTATTTTCAAGGGATATTTATTAGTGCAATATACAAAAAATCCCAACTCAAATGATACTTACGTGGGACTGTAGGCTGTGCACCACTTGTATGCTGTTGAGAGAAGAAGAAGAAGAAAGGATATAAATTGAGGAATACAAAAATAGGTTATATATCAGACTTAAGATAATATTTAATAGGCCATATAAAACTAGAAAATATTCCCATAAGTTTGTGTGATGAACAAAGAATGTCGTAACTGATGCTTCTGAAAATGAAATATATGCTTTATATAGGTTTTTTGTGGAATATATCCTTTATATACCGGTAGGTTTTTTGTGTAAAAGAGAAGAATATTTTCAGATTGATGATCATTGACCCAATTTGTAGTCTTGAACTTTTAAAAGATTCCTCCCTTCTCCTTCTACTTAAACGATCCTCCATTCCTTTCTATCTTTTCGTAATTACAGATACAGACCATGATGCACAGTTCAAGATTAAACTCTGTGACACATAAGAATTCTATATCTGATACCCATCAAAGGGAAAAGCGTAATCACATATGATATAGGGTTTCACACTCTGAACATCTAATGTAAATGGAACCCCTCAGCGAGTGAAGCAAATGCGGAGGGTCTGGTATTAAAGGGGATGTCCATGTCGGAAAAAATAAAAGCATAAATAAGAGAATAGATCTGTGAAAGATGCAGGAAAATTTGAAGAAGGCTAAGAAATGTCTGGACTTTTGACTTAAATAATCAGACAGAAATTGGAAACTCTTTGATTAGCAGTTCTCCTATTTATTGTGTAGTCAAATTGGTACAAAATCCAATTTTCTCTGGAAAGAAATAATTATTCCAGTGCCCTAGTTATATCATTAGACACATATCCTTACACAAGGCTCTGTGAAATAGATCAAGTCCTTGAACAAAAAGAAAATGGGAATATATGGAATAAACAGAATATATTAAGGCTTTTCCTGCTTATGGACTTTGCTTACAAGATGTTCTCTACAGTGAATATTTCTTCTTTTTCTTAGTCCCTTAAATTAGAACTCAATCCACCAAGATTTTGACATTTTAAGTTAGCAATTAATGCATACCAGAGTAAACGGCTGGACACATATTTACGATTCGATGATAAAAGTGTAAATATTAGGAAATCAGTCTTTATAGAAAATATGCAAATGAACACAGATTTTTAGAGATCTAAATCATTTTCTACAGAGACTGAATATCGTTATCAAATCATTGATAAGTGATCAGCTCCTAAAGTCTTTGCCATTTGGAATAATATGTCTTCTTCTTTTTGTTCAGTCTACTGTCGTTCTTTTTTGGTGGATGTGAGAGGGGGGGATTTAATCTGCATGGGGTGGGGTGCAAGTACGAAGAATGAAAGGAGCTGCACTTACCGAAAGGTCGTCAAAGGGAAACTTAGGCACTTCAGCTTTGACAGGTGTCTGTATGGCAGATACTGGAGTCTTCAAAGCAGTCATTTTCTGAAGAAGAAAAAAATCAAACCACCATTTAAACATCTAATCACATTCCAAATTTATATAATTCATACAATTTTCAGCCATTTTGTTTCTCATAAGGGAATAAAGCAGAACAGTACAGGTAATCGAATTTCAATTAAAAAGATACATGATACCGACATCACATGAATCATCACTGTCTTACTTCCAGATCGGAAAGACCTAAGTTAAACCAGTAGTGGAAAGTTTTAGAATTGAGTTCCAAACTTTTCAACATTTCGTCCCTGTTTTCACAAAGTGACGGTAGTGAGGAAAATCGTAACGCAAAGTGAATGCAATTTTTTTCTCACTACCGTCACTTCGTGAAAACAGTGACGATTTGTGTGACAAAATATTCTCCAAGTAAACATAATAGATACTTTCAAGACATGACGTCTATCGCAATTACTTATAGCATAATGCATCACCTATAAAATATATATTGATCTTTGAGCATGTGCTATACAACCTAGTTTTGAAATGTTGAACTTGCTAAAGGCAGGCCAAAATCTTAATGCATTTATCATCTTTCAATCCAATACATAAATATGACTTATAGAGCTTAAATGAAGATTATAGACAGGCCGAAATCTTAATGCATTTATTGTCTTCCACAAATGCTACTGTCTTATCCAATACATAAATATGATTAATAGAGCTTAAATGAAGATTATAGAGAAAATTGAGTCCTGGTCACTTGACTCTTGTCAAATCCCTTACTTCGTTTGAAACTTGGACAGCATATAGAAATAACATTGAGACGGCTTTTACCAATAATCATTCATTTTAACAAGGGGTTTTCCCCTGCAAGATAACATGCCCTTTGGTTATAGGAGATCAGCAGATGTACCCCAGAAAAGGGTTGCAAAACACTTGCCTTTTATCTCCCTTTGAGAAATTAAGCTACATGAACTGACACAAATGCTATCCCGTGTGCATCCATGCCGTGAAAAATCCATCTCGTTAAAGACGAGTTAGAAGTAGGTCACATGTTCACATCAGGCCCCTCCTCATGAGACTGAGGTTTGGATTTATAGCTTGCTCATTCTCATTCGGGGAAATAAACCCGATCAAAACAAGTTTGATGTAACTCATAGTGAAGATGCACGCACATAGGTTTTAAATTAAAATCGTACGACACTTGCTCCTAAGATGATTGCTCCAAATCCGTATTCAGTCCTGGACCCAACACTAAACCTATCCCTAACCCTAACCTTAAAACTAGCCTAAAACCCACTTGCAACACCAACCCAAACCCTATGCTTTTCGAGAAAATAAAGCCTGAAGCAATTGTCACTGGTGCAAATGTCGGAGCACCATTTCACCTTTGAGCTTTAGGACTTTAGCTGAAACTATTATTCCAAGCCAAATAGGTCTAGTTTGCAAAATAGCCTACTATGTGGCCTATTAGCAGGCCAATTCACTACTGAAGACACACTCAGAATATCATATCGTCCATTTAATCTCTGAAGCCATAGGTTGTTAACTCATACTATTTTAGACAGAGTAAAGACCCCTCTGGCTCTGAAGCTCAAATCAATTCCTAAAACGGGTTTTTTTTTTTTTTTTTTTTTTTGGGGGGGGCTAATGTAAATGGGGAACTTCAAACTCTTAGGTGTTTTTGAGTAGTGTTAATCAGTCAAATATCTCAAGCTAGAGCTTGTTTGGGCTAATGGGAATGCATCTATAAGGCAGCATTTAGTTTTTCAGATTTTATGTTTCTCCTCATGTTTCAAATACAATGCCAGGGGAAATAAAAACAATTTTTGTAATACAATCAACTTATAGAATGTTAACCCCCTTTGGGTGCAATGATGCAATGAAAAACTCTTCCTACGTGTATGCTACATCAAGATTAAGTAAAACAAAAGAAAATGAAATTCTTTCAAATGATTTTAGGCCCATGCACTTACATGTACATTTTAGAAGTTTTTTTGTTTTTTTAATGGTTTTTAAACATATTTACACGACAGGAAAAACCCATTTAAACAAAAACACTCCAGAGGGAGGTGGATTTTTTTAATTCAGGTGCCTAGTAATTTCCCACAAAACTCTGGAATGTGAGAAAAACCGACAATTTTTACATGTAGTGTAAAATGCCCCTATTGAAATTTCTATGTCATTGCAACATAACTTTTTTTTTATGGAAACAGAAAGTAATGGAACACAAGACAGCTCAATTATGAAATTTTAATCTTTTAGGTTTCCAATGTGTTTTTGTTTTCAATTGAATTCAAGACAGATTTATGAACACATGAAACACTTTTGCTTTCCTCCCGTGATTGACGTATTTCGGCAAGCAATTGTTTGAAAAAATTGGTTGGTACTAAGTTAGGAAAACTATGATCAGGCACTAGAGATTTGCAGATATGATCTTTATTACTAATGAAAATTGCCTATTATTGAAATAATTTCTTTGGCATAAAGGTACTAACACAGATAGTACTCACACATTTCCCAGAGTTCTTATTAACTATTGTATGAACACAGCATACAAATGAAATAATGTAACATTATTTATTCTACTGCAAAAAACAGAAATGATCACGCCACAAAAATTTCATGCATTGATAAAGACAGCTAATTTAACAGCAAATTTTGTTTCGTAAGTGGCAAAAATGCAGTGTCATATCAGTTTTGTGATTCATTTATTTTGCTACATGAAACTTTTGCAGGTCTGAACCACTCATGAAATATGCAAAAATTATTTAATGTGTACAAAAAATGTTTTCTTTACACTAATGTAAACACGACTTTAGTTACATTAGTTCGAACATCTAAGGCATATCATCTGAACATTACACAATTGGTTACGTAATACGTCATTGTAACGTTCGCACATTTCAATACGTGAAGCACAAGGCTATTGAAATTGCCAAAGGTTGATTTGTCAAAAGTAGTTGAGATCATGTTACATAAATCCTATTTCAATTCTTTTTTTCTATCACATGAAACTTGATGTGAACAGAGCCATTTCAGAACATGTCAAATTTACTCCTAATTGTTTTACATGATATTTAATGGGAACACAGCTTTAATTAGGAACATACTAGTATGTACAGCCAATCTTCACAATATCCCAATAACAATCTTCTTTCTTTTACGTCATACAAAATGTGAAGAGGGGTAAATTTTCAAAACATACAGCCAACCTACATGATACATAATGTGAACGATGCTATATTTTCGAACATAAGGCCCATCTAAAATGTGAACAGTGCTGTACTTTGGAAAACACAACCAATCTGCACATAATATCCTAATTCCAATCGTCTTTATTGCACGTGATAGTGTTCACAGGTGCTCTCTTATCTCTTCACAGCATTCCAAATTGCTCCTTGTCCTTCCGCTCTGCACCTGCGCTCAATTTCTGCTACCCCCCTCTCTCTCTCTCTCTCTCTCTGTTTGTCTCTCTTTCTCTCTCTTGCTCGCTTTAAAGGTGCTATCAGCCAATTATACAGGTAAATAGATTACACTTAAATCGATTAACTGCTAGCATGTAAATATATACAATTCTTAGCAAATTATTCTATTTAATTTTGAAGTATTATGATTATCTAAGATCGTTTGAATACACTCAAAATTTGTAAGCAAAATGGTTTTGTTTTATAATGAGAGATAAATTTGCATAAATTCAGTATGTGTTTTCCAAAAGGACATGAAAAACACATCCAAAGTCTTGAGAAAAAAATTCTGAGAACACAATTATTTTTTTTCCTCCCTGTTATACTTTCATACCATAAGTGAAATATATCATGTGAGAACTCCAATGCACTTTAAGAGATTAATAGAAACAACCACGCATATTTCTGTGGTTGCCAAATTAAGCTAGAAATCATCAAGGCATGGACAATCGGCAATCCCTTCGCTCATGTAACTCATCGTACATTATGTAAATAGCACATTGTTGGTTGGTGTTAACAATATACCTGTAGGTGATTACAAAACCCACACCACCGACAACAAATAAAAATTTTCATTATCGCTTCGCCCACAATCTAGTCCTCAATCACCGCATTAAAGATCACTCATCTTGTTTCATCCAAAAATAGTCTGGAAGCACAGACTTTTATTTCACACTTAAAACAAATTTCCGTAAGTCTTGCGCAGAGCCTAGATCTATCAGTCTCTGGCTGTGTCAAAGCACAGAGCCTATGGGGTGCACTCGACCGTGCAGTCGGCATAGTCTCTTAGCGCAGACACTCTGATACATACGCACTACAACTGACAAGGTTAGATAGAGCCTGCATACTAAACCCAATAGCCATGAAATAAAACCCTTCAACCAAGGTGACAACTCTCACTCCCAATCCCAAAATAAACCTAAGTGGTTCCCTCAAAATAAATGAGCTTTTGCCTGAATTCGGCTCTGCGAGTGGCTTCGCTGAGTTCGGCATGTAAGTATCCCAGTGGGAGAGGAATACATTGCGTAATATAAATGCTGCTTAGATCAAACAGTGCGTGACTATTGTCATCCACTTACAGTTTCTATATGCCCCATACAGGGGAGAAGGATAAATCATAAAATTGCAATAATCAAAATCGCTCAGCATGATATTTTCCTTATTTTTTTCTTAATCTCTCTCAGGTGAGAAAAAAGTGATAGCTTGCAGGGAATTTAAAGGAAAAGGGACCTGGTAACCATTATTGTTCAGATGAGAGAAAAATACTGCTAAGGTACTAAATAATAATGATGATAATAATATTCTGTGTTTATATAGCGCTCAATACATCGATCCAACGATGTGCCTAAGCGCTTTACAGTCTTACAGATATATTATTACCCTGGTCATCGGATTCAGGCTTACCGGCACACAATGTATGCACATTTTCCAATTAAAGACAATCTCAAAGTTTGAGTGAAAAACAGCATTACTAACAATTAAAATGGGGAAAAACTAAACTGATTGATTCATTATTTTCTGCCAACTACATTACTATAATTAATTAAATTTAAGGTGAATGTAAATTGTCACAAAGCAATG